TGATCTGTGTTTTCTGTCTCAGACTCATCTGTACCCAGAGTGGATGTATCTGGCTTGGTGGCAGSTGTTCTGGCCATCGTAGTGGTTGCAATTATTGTCATAGTGCTGGGAGTCTACTGCTATAAAAACAAGAATAAAACAGGGTCGGCCCGGTAAGTTTCACTGAGAAATTATTTTCTGTGAGGGTGGAAGGTGTTCTCACAACATGTGGTCCTGATTCYTGACAGTCTGATCTCAGACTGCACTAAGAACTGGACATGCTGAGGACAGCTTAGTGCTAATCTCAACAGAGGACATCAACTTGACAGCACCATGGGACAGTTTCCAACTCAAGAAGAAATGTTTTGATCTTGGSAAACACTCTTGTTTTAGAACGTAAAAAATAAAAAATGAAATTTGATTCATTAAGCATTTCCTTCAACACAATAACAATAAAATGTTTATAAATTAATACCACTATACAAAACATAATTCTGAAAAGTCAAGGCATCAGACAATGAAAGAACTGTACAGTGATGAGTCCAACCAGGAATTTTTTTATGAATTTTGTAGGCCCTGTTGTAGAGTTGTAGAGTACCTGTWCAAAAATCTGTGTTCAAATGTAGTTACTTAAGTGGTCTATAAAAAACAAGTCCTTGTCTCAGCTCTGATGTGGACTTCCACATGTTTTACTGTGTTCTGGTCCAGAGTCCCAGTAAGAATGTCAGGAGATGGGAATCCAGCTCCAGAGACTGTACCTCTGTCTGCCATCGTTCCACCTCCAGCTTTACCCAGCTACAATGAAGCTCTGAACCACAGTGGACAGCACGATGCCCCCCCACCACCATACTCAGGGTAGGTAGATACTGGTCCCTGTGAAACCTGACAGTAAATAAAACATAAACAAAAGAATAAATAGTTGTTGTCTTTTGTTCCGAAACAATGTTGGGGTACATGTTTTCTATGTTGCCCAGTATCTGTGTTCCCCAGTACCTACTGTATGTTCTGCAGGACCTATGTTCCCCAGTACCTACTGTATGTTCTGCAGGACCTATGTTCCCCAGTACCTACTGTATGTTCTGCAGGACCTATGTTCCCCAATACCTGTTTCCCTTGGCTAATAAATGTTCTCTGATGGTTTTTWATAAACACCACAGTGTGTCACATTTGTTGTTATAATATGATGTTTTGTTTTGTTTTTTTCCTCATCTTCCCTTRTGTGGTTTTTAGTTTTTCTGTTAAAGGTTTGCGCCTCCTCATGATATCTTCATGAAGATGATCCTTGCTCTGTGCAGGGTCAGTGGCAGCATGACCCAGAGCACCTGTTCTCCTATGTTTGATATGTTCTGTCATCTTCTGAATGGGTGTTCTGAACTGGAATTTCAATGTGCTCTGTACAATGACAATAAAGGTCTATCTCATCTTAACATTTAGCTTCATTTGAGGAAGCAGATTTAAACCGGACAATTCTGAGACACAAATTAGAAGATGTCATCTTCATCATGTGACCAAAACAAAGACCCTAATAGGCTTCCAGAGGAGATTAATCTGCAGAAATATAACATCTCATGCATATTAAAGCTTGGAGAGAGAAAGTTCTGGGATTTCTAAATGTGTTGTAGCTAAGAGTCCTGCTTACTCTGCATCCCGTTTCTTTCATGTGTCGGAGTTGTTCCTTTGTTGCATCATATCTGACCCAAAGACATCTCCTGTACTGGTACTGTGTTGTGGATCATCCTGTAATAACCATGCTTCCTGTCTTTACCCACAGGGGGGCGCCGTCAACACCTGCTGATCCAGAAAACAACTGAGGAGTTTGGCTGGGTCTCTGCTTTGTACCTGAAGGCCTGAGGAGACATCTTTGTATATTCAATATTTTAAATATCTTATGTGACTGGTTGCTTCTGGTGAAACGTTGTGAATTTTGCCTTTCAAACGATAATTATCATTTTTTGATTGAGAACATGGGTGAGAGTTTATTTGTGTTGTTCATCCAGCAGTTCTGTGTTAAAAACACAAGAAACGTGACGAACGTGAAGAAAAACCCAAAATGTTTTATATAATAAATAATATTATTTGTACTTGTGTCTGTAGTGTTTTAATTTTGAAGTCATAACAACATGGTTTCTAATTTACATCTTTATTTCTGGGTCATCTTGAGAATAAACACATTAAATGGTGACTATAGATTAAAGGGTTAATGTGATTTATTGATATGACCTTGTAGGTTTGTTTTCAGTTTTTTTTATATTTACCTCTACAAACAAACCTGACAAACAAAAACCTTGTGTTGGCTGGTTGTTTACCAAYATGTACAAATACAAGAATGTACAAATTTGTTTGTACCTGTTTCTTTAAAGAAAACACTACGAAGGTCACTGAAATAACCTGAAACTGACAAAAGTAATAAAATAAATTAATAATTTGGTTTTGGATTTTGGTTCAACACAATTATTTAAGAAAAACAAGAGAATCAGGGCTCCACAAACAGGACCTTCAACTTTATATTTTATTGCTCAAGTTTTTGGACCAACCAAGTGATTTTTGATTTTTTTTCTCTAACACTTCTGCACCTGTCCACAGGTGTTCCGGTTTACTCCTCATGCAGAAACTAGTGCAATTATCTCAGGTCTGAAGGGTTCCTCTAGACTCAGAACAGTCCAATGCTTGGTTCTGATCCACTCTTGGTTGGTTTTAGTAGTGTTTGTGTCATTACCCATCCTGACATCCTGGTGGACAAACTGGCTGACTACCCTACACCCGTGACTGCACCCCATCACTCCACCAACACCATCATAAAATATGCAGATGACWCTACTCTGGTGGGRCTTATAACTAGTGGAGATGAGTCGGCTACAGAGATAAGGTRCAGAGGTTGGCAGTGTGGTGTGTCAGAAACAACCTGTCACCCTAAAAAACTGCCCCTGCACCACTCAAAAACAGTTTCTTCCCACCAACCAAACATCCTACATGCAATATTCTATTCTATTCTATTCTATTCTATTCTATTCTATTCTATTCTATTCTATTCTATTCTATTCTATTCTATTCTATTCTATTCTATTCTCCTGTTAGACCCAAGACTGAGAGACGCTCTTTTTCTTTGCTGAAGACAGAGAGTCACACCTGAGACATCCTGTCCTCAGCTGTCTGTGCTCCATGTTCAKTGTGGTACACACCTTGATAGCAATCAGTCCTGTGACTACCTGTCAGCCTTTAAACAGACAAATTGCAGCAGGACTCACGTCTTTTAAGGGTTCTATCTTTTTTATTGAGTCCAGTTTCATTATTTTGTTTTTCAGTAATATTTCTGAGTTATTTGTTTTCACTTTATCAGTGCAGAGTTCATTTATTCATTTATATTTGTCTAAAAGGCCAACGTATATCGATCATAACTCATTTTAATTGCCATATAAAGGTAAAACATTCTAAACCTTTGATCTGTGCTGTTAATCAGTCATCTTTATAGGTTTTTCTTTATAAACAACATGGTCGAAACAGATTTATCTGTCTGTAACTGTAGCTGCAGGAGATGCAACTGGAACGATTTGTTTACATACACTGTATACAAACACACTCCCATTGATATATTTCAATGCACASTCCTTCAACATCTGCTCAGATGATGATGATGTCATAGTTTTAAAAGCTTTTGATTGGTTTGTTGAGAACACWTGAGTTAAAACAAGGCTCCATGGATTCAWGAGTTCTTTGTGTAGTTAGTAAATCTGTAGAAATCAGACAAGAGACCTCCACAACCCTGGTCCATCCTTCAGAAACTCATGCTCCACAGAGGGACAAGTCCTGTACCAGCATGGACTGGAAGGACCCTTGGACAGGGAGAAGACATGACTCAGCATAAATAATTCAGATTACAGATTATAGATGCAAACAGGGACAAATACCTTAATGGTTGGAGACATGTCCTGTGGTCTGATGAGACTAACATTGGACCATTGTTACATTTGGAGGAAGATTCAAGTCTGAGAACATCATCCACACTGTGAAGCATGGAGGAGGCAGCATCATAATGTGGAGTGTTTTACTGCAGGAGGGACTGACCTTCACCACACAGGTGGATGTCTTCAGATGGACTAGAGGCAAGAGACACTACAGGGGATGTAACAGAACCTGTGGAGAGTCGAGGTTTCAGTGATGTGACCCCCAAACCTGGAGCTCCAACAGAGAAGAACAGTCTAATGAACAGAACGCTGAAGCTCCCAGAGCACTGAAAGAAGACCTGAGTTTGAAGAGAGGCACAGCTGTCCAGGTGAGGGTGAGCTGGGTGTTAAACATAGTGTCTTGCAAAAGTATTCGGCCCCCTTGAACTTTTCAAATTTTTTCCACATTTCAGGCTTTAAACATAAAGATATAAAATTTAAATTGTTTTGTGAAGAATCAACAACAAGTTGGACACCATCATGAAGTGGAACAAAATTTATTGGGTATTTTAAACTCTTTTTTTAACAAATAAAAAACAGAAAAATGGTGGTGGTGGGGGGTGCAAAGTTATTCGGCCCCTTTACTTTCAGTGCAGTAAACTGACTCCAGAAGTTCACTGAGGATCTTTGAATGATCCAATGTCCTGATGATGATAAATAGAATCCAGCTGTGTGTAATCAATGTATAAATGCACCTGCTCTGTGATGGTCTCAGGCCTCTGTTTAAAGTGCAGAGAGCATCATGAAGACCAAGGAACACACCAGGCAGGYCTCAGATACAGTTGTGGAGAAGTTTAAAGCTGGATTTGGAYACAAAAAGATTTCCTAAGCTTTAAACATCTGAAGGARCTCTGTGCAAGTGATCATATTGAAATGGAAGGAGTATCAGTCCACTGCAAATCTACCAAGACCCGACCGTCCCTCTAAACTTTCATCTGGAACAAGGAGAAGACTGATCAGAGATGCAGCCAAGAGGCTCATGATCACTCTGCAGAGATCTACAGCTGAGGTGGGAAAGTCTGTCCACAGGACAGCAATCAGTTGTACACTGCACAAATCTGGCCTTTATGGAAGAGTGGCAAGAAAAAGCCATTTCTCAAAGATATCCATAAAAAGTCTTATTTAAAGTTTGCATCAAGCCACCTGGGAGACAVAGCAAACGTGGAAGAAGGGGCTCTGCTCAGATGAAACCAAAATCAAACTTTTTGTCCACAAGGCAAAACTATATGTTTGGTGCAAAAGCAACCCTGAACACACCATCCCCACTGTCAAATATGGTGGTGGCAGCATCATGGTTTGGGCCTGCGTTTCTTCAGCAGGGACAGGGAAGATGGTTAAAATTGAAGGGAAGATGGATGGAGCCAAATACAGGACCATTCTGGAAGAAAACCTGTTGAAGTCTTCAAAAGACCTGAGACTGGGACGGAGTTTTATCTTCCAACAAGACAATGATCCAGAACAGAAAGCAGAATCTACAATGGAACGATTCACAAATAAACGTATCCAGGTGTTAGAATGGCCAAGTCAAAGTCCAGACCTGAATCCAGTCGAGAATCTGTGAAAAGAGCTGAAATGTGCTGTTCACAAACTTTTTCCATCCAACCTCACTGAGCTCCAGCTGTTTTACAAGGAAGAGTGGGCAAGAATTTCAGTCTCTCCATGTGCAAAACTGATAGAGACCCCAAGAGACCTGCAGCTGTAATCACAGCAAAAGGTGACGCTACAAAGTATTAACACAAGGGGGCCGAATAATTTTGCACTCTCAATTATTCAGTTTTATTTACTTGTTAAAAAGAAAAAAATTGTATAGGTCTTCTGGACAGGTTCTTCTCCAATGAAACGTTTCGTCTCTCTTCCAAGAGACTTCTTCAGTCTGAGAGTTTCAGGCAAAATTCAGGCTTTTGAGTCCTGCCTCCATGTAACTGATACTCACATCACATGGCCATCGTTCACAGGTGACTAATACTCACATCACATGGCTATCGCTCACCCTAATTAACAC